ATTTTTGTAAGCATATTTTTCATAAAAAAACAAAAATTGTATTTTTTTCATGTAAAAAAAATCCAAAAATGGATATCGTAACAAGTTTATGATTATCCATTAGGATTGGGCCAACATGTCAAAAAAACCAAAAAAATAAAAAAAGTATTAATATTTGGGATGTAAATTTTGCAATGTAATGCATATTCTCGGTATTAAATTAAATAAATTGAAAAAAAATTAGGAATTAATTATAGAATTTAATATTTGGGGGTATAAAATCATACTATAAAGTATATCTCCTTGTATTAAATACACAAAAATAGAAATAAATATGTTTTTACCCATTTTTGGGTTCCCACAAAAAAAAACTAAAAATGAAAAAATACAAAAAATATATAAAAACAAAATATTAGAAAGAAATTTTGTGATACGTCTTCCCCTTGCACAATTAGTCCTTTACTCAGACTCTTGCAAACCATAGGTTCCTAGTAACCATAATACTAGGTGGCAACTCCTAAACATTAATCATAATTTTATGATTAAATCCAAAACTCTTTCCAACACATAACACCTTAGATCGAAGGCACGACAAAAAGTCTCTGCCATCGCTAGACGACGTCGTGCCTGCTCCCACCCTGCTACAATAGGAATTATCTTGAAGATAAGGATAGAATGAAAAAAGTATATTATAGTCCATAGTTATCACACAAGTTAACAAATCACACTTTCATCAAAATAAATCTCTCATATTTTAATTTTATATTTTAAACCCTATAAAATTAAATTAAATTAAAAAGCCAATGGGCCAAAATTGAATTACAACACCTGCAATTAAATAGTTTGTTAAAATTTTCACAAAGAAACACTTTGGAATTTCAAGAAAAATAATAAAATATATCTCAATGAGCTCTTACTATATGCTTTGCATGGTTGACAAATGGAAGTGCTCCTTCAATGTGTTTGTTTATCGAACCAAAAGTATATGTGTTTATGTTTTATGTACTAGATTCAAAACACCTTCTAAAACTGTTTGATTTCATAAATTATTGAAACAATGTCCAATTACTCTCCATGACTGCCCTTAGTTAATATCTTTTTCACTTTTTAACTTCATTAGAGTTGGCTTTTTCTAATTGCTTGTTTAAGGGCATCATATAATAAATCATGCAGCTTGTTATACAAATTTATTAAATAAAAATAAGGTAAGAAAATAAAAGAATGAAGGTTTACAATAATATAAATTAGTTGATTTAAACTTATATAGTTAGTTGCATTGTGGCTTTCCCATATTTCCTGAAAAATGCCTTGATTATTTAATATGTTAATTAGTTTTAAAAATTTTAAAAACTAGTATCTCAGAGTAGAGATTATTTAATTATCTAACCTTAAACTTTATTCACCAAGCTCCTACCATATTCATCCACTTAGGATGCTCATGGAGTTGGCCTAATTGAAATAGTTATTTGAATGATGTTTTCATCGTAGATGTTATCGAACAAATAACTTCTGTATTGATAAATCTAAAAATCAATTAATCAAAACCATTTTAATTTAATATAAAACTTAAAATAACCTAATACAAATAAATAACATCACGAGATAAAATATTAATTACATGAAGAGGTCATCATTCTATTTTGCTATGATTTTATGTGAAATAGGTTATATAGAAGAAGGGATGTCTTCTATATTATCCTTATCAGTTGAGTCTTAGTCAATAACTTCTATATAAAGTGCTTATTTATAATTGTCACCTAGATTAGCAATATGATCATAGACACTACTACTTGATAAAATAGTAGCACTCTTGTTAGACATGAACTTGTTTTTTCTTGTATACATGGTACCTACAAGAGAACAAAACACATTCCTGAAGAAACACATAGAAAAAGTAGCAAAATCCTATTTTCATTACCAACAAATCTCAAACATGCTCCCTATCAATTTCAAATAAGAGAAGCAAAAAAGAAAATATGTGAACTAACAACAACAAGACACTAAACAACATTAAATCAAAATTTTGATTTAATAAAGTTGAGACTTTTAACTTATGGTATATCCTTTCTTAGAAAAAAATAATTGTTTGAAATCATTTTTATCAAAACTTATTTACAGAAAAAATAAAAGTTTTGCTTCATGAATAAAATTAATAGTTATTTTTTAATAATTTATTAATGATGTCAAGTGAACTCTTAGTATCATTTTGTTTTTGCTCTTGATTGGATGAGCAGAACTTGATTGGAGTAGAAGAATTGACATTATAATGGAATCGCAAAGGGAATGTTTTATCTTCATAAGGATATCTGGAGATTTATGACTTTGCAATGAAAATGATTTTTTCAAGCAATAAAGGCAAAGCTAATACTACTTGAATAGTAGCAATAAGTGTACAAATATTCTTAATTGGGTCCCTAAAGGATTATGTTTCAAAAAAATTGGACTATCTCCTTCACTATAAAATTAATCATCACTAATACAAAAAATGTCAACATGAACATGTAATTTCATTAATGGTTATGGATGGAAGGTGTAATTGCGAATAGTGAATACTTTGGTGATTCAATTGAGAATTTTCAATATCATAGCTAGAAAAAACAAAACCACTTCCATCAATTCCCATTTTCTTCCTTTACCTGTTCTCAATCCAAGACTACCATACCCCTTTCATCTTCACCATCAAATCATGAAACCTGAAACCACAACTATCATCCCTTTTTTTAACCTTCAAAACCACACACTAAAGCTACACAACAACTCCATAAATGCTCCCCACAATTCCATTTAGCCTTCACCATCATTTGTTTTCTCCATTCTCATCATAAAGACCATAACACGTACTGTTTAAATTCCTCAACACCCAAACCACACAATTATAAACCCATTTTCCCTGTTTGCATAATCATCCAAATCTCAAATTAAGGGCACTAATTTTGAACTCTATTTTGTTAAATTTCAACCAACAAAGGGAACCTAGTTTACTTAAGCACGCGCACGTGTGCACACACATATATAAACCTAACCCTACGTTTATTGAACAAAAAATAAAACCTGGGATGAGTAGAGGAGAGGTGGCGCTGGATTTGTGAGTGGGGGAGGGTGGCTGGTACTTGTTGCTGCTGCCCCAAATTTAGGTAAATCATGAAGAAGAAGAAGAAGAAATGGGGAGAGGAGATGGACTCTCAGGTTTTAATTTGATTACCAAACATATGCTAATTAATTAATTAATTAATAATAATAAGAAGAAGAAGAAGTTTGGTACTAAGGCATTTTCGAATCTTGAAATCTTTCTTCTTCATATATGAAGGAAGGAGTAATATTATAATTTCAAAGGAACTCAAATATCATAAAACAAAAACAAAAAATAATATATATTGATGAATTGAAGTAATTGGTATAATGATAATAACCAGAATACATGACAGGAAGGATTTGATGATGAGCTCAAAGTAAAACGGATAGTACAAGTTGATCACAAAGCTTGCAGAAGATCATCAAAGTCATTAATATTCACGAATTCTTGGTATCTAAAGAACTCTACCCTACCATTTGTATATATATCATCTAGTGTAAGGCGGACAGAACTCCCATAGCTATCTCTACAGCCTGCAACAAAACCACACAAGTAGAGATGGGCACACTCAATGAAACAAGTGCCACCATCCCTAGAGCCAGACTTGGCCTAACATTCATCAAATAGTTCTGCAACATCCCCACTGCTTCACAAACATCGTTGTTGTAGTTGCAATGCATGCAATATTGTTTCTCCCACTCCATCCAGTGAGAAGGTGGGTTGTTGCATGCCTCCAACATCTTCATCTCCTTAATTCGTAATCGCAGTACAATCATGCTTTCATCTACAAGCCTACCCCCACGGTCTCGTCCATTAGTTCCTCTATGAAGGGCAACAATGGTGTTTCTTCGAGGGCATGGTTTCACTAGAGAAATTGGCCTCGGGACAAGCCTGGAGGATGAGAATTTTGTTGCTTCCATGAATGAAAATAGAGAAGTGCTCAAGCAAAGTCTTTCTTTTCCTTTGGCTTTAATTTTACAGTATGAGTAGGAATCGGGGGTGGTATTAATATTTATATTAGGTAGGGGAAATGGTTTTGGGTGGTGGATTTATTTATTCCTTAATCATTACAACTTCTATTTAAAACCGTGTGAAGGGGCGTGTCAAATTCTGAGACGAGCTAGAGTGTGCGCGTGACGTGTACCTTAATGCATACATGCCGAGAAGGGATTTCTTTTTTTGAAGCAATAAAAAGGTAGGACTCAACTTCGATGATAAGAAAACCATGTCCAGGTCTTTCTACTTTCCCTTGAAGCTGAAGGAACTCTCTTCGAACATATAAATAGAGTTGTATTATATTTTAAAGTGTTTTTAAAATATATTTGATTTGTAACAAGACAAATCAATGATTTTTTCTTATATTTCTTATTAAAAGCTATAATATGAAAAATATCATAACCATTAAAAAATTCAAATAAACACTAAATTAACTTTTTTTTTTTAATCCAAACACATTTAAAAAATAAAAAACACTTGTAATGTAATAATACATGAGCAGATGTCATAATATCCAGTCTCGTCTCTAAGAAATGTGGCATAATGATAAATGGTTTGAGATCTACACAGTAAATCTCGAGTCAAGATATGCATTTTTTGTAAGAGTTTTGAATAGTCGGGATTTTACTCAATCACTTAAGCTCATAAAGTGAGTTTTCTAGGGGGTGGAGTTTCCTCAAATAAAAAAAATAATATCCAATCTCACATATAAACGTCAGAATAAACTGAAAATTTTTATTATGGTGGGTGAAAATCATGTCATGGCACATGATTATTCAATTAGATATCAATTTAAAAATTGTATCATGTTAGTTAAAAAATAATAATTATAAATATTAGGGAAAAAAAAGAAAATAAATAAATTTAAGAGCACATGATCATTGAATTAATAGGGTTGACAATTGAATTCATGATCAAACAGTCTTGATGTATTCTTAATTTCTTTTATAATGTGTAACATTAATTTTTGTGTTAAAAATATACTGATTTATATTAAAGAGATTAAATATGGACAATACTCGTTCTGGAATTGTGTACGATTATTGTAAAAAATATTCTTATAGAAACTTTTCTCAAAAAGTCCATAGTAATGGTAGACAACACGACAATTGTCGTCGCTAACCCTTTAGAATTTAATCAATATCTTACAATTTATCTAGAAGTGTTTGTCTGTGGCACATTCCGAGCATAGTCTTGCTTGTAGCTATACTAGCTAGTATACATCCTCGATCGAAGCTAGCCCTGTGGCAAATTCCAGGATTATATTTACTTGTTCGAGACAGCAAGACACAAGCCACCACCCACATCCCATAGTGAAATTTAAAAAGCTTGAATTTGTTCGAGTTTTACTTAAACTTTTTCATAACATGGAGAATGATTTGAGTTAGCCTTGGCGTCTTCCACATTTTAAGACGAGTTAAACTAAGTTTGCGTGGGCATGCCGTGTGGCCAAGCAAAGTGCATGCATTTTAGCACGATATCTCCTTCGTAAAGCTACAAAACATGTTGTCCGTCAGCCACGGCTAAAATAAACAAAAGCATCGATCGAAACATCGTATATTCAATAAAATCCATTTAGGTATGTTCTAGATCCGGAATTCGATTTTGCTAGATTTGGCCCTTTTGTTTTGTTGTAGACGCCATGATTTCCGACTTCGCAATAAAACGACCCATCCGTGTCCAAATGAAAGTGGAGCCTGCATATGAAAGTGGAGTCTGCATGATATCATCGTTACTGGGGGTGAGAAAAAAAAACAATTAAATTAATTAAAATTTTAAGGAAATTAGTTGGTTTGGTTTGGATTTGGTTTTAAAAAAAACCAAACTTGAACCTGAAAAAACTAAAAAAAACCGAGCTAAAAATAAAAAAAAACTAAGTCAAATCAGAAAAATTAAATCAAATCAGAATAAACCAAGTCAAAATAAAAAAAATCCAAGCCAAAATCAGAAAATCAGAACAAAAACTGAAAAAATCAAGTCAAACTGATTTGAACTATTTTTTTTAAAAAGATCAAATCGAACCAAAATCTATCAATTTGACCTAATTTTGATTTTTTACAGAAAATCAGAACAAAAACTGAAAAAATTAAACCAAACTAATTTAAACTATTTTTCTTTAAAAAATCAAATCGAATCAAAATCTATCAGTTTGACCTAATTTTGATTTTTAAAAAAAAAATTATTTGATTTTTTAATAAATATCAAATCAAATAAAAAATAATCGTCCTAAATCGTTATAATATTATTATTGTGTAGATTTTCTAGGGTGAATTTATATTTTTACTACATTAAATATAACTATTTTATTTTAATATTTTAAACCAAAAAACATTTGTCACTGTGAAAATGATTAAGCAGGCCTGAACTTCATTTGACGCGGGACGTGTCAACTACTGAAGTATGTGGTGGCTGCAGACGATCTCCTCGTGATTCATGCACACGATGAGAGGACCCCCAGCCAATAAAAAAAGGATGTTGAAAATCGCAACTCTACTTGATTTGTCGTGCTGGATCGATCAGGGTCAATCAATGCTCGTCACTTCCAAATTTTCCTTTCCCATTGAACAACTAAAACTAAATAAACGGTATTGGCATTTTAATTCATTTCCTTACCTTTTTTTTATTTGTACGATATGTCGATATGTTCCTAGCCGGTTTCATATTCTTTTTTTTTTTTAAATAAAAATAAATTAACGATCTCCTTCATTAGCCCGAGAAGTTATCTAAGTACACAATAGATTTTACTATTCATTACAATAATAAAAATTCATTACAATAGTAAATAATATGGTAGTACTTACAACCTAGAAAATACTTTTAACTATTTATTCGAGTTGAGATAAATTTTTGCACCATAACATAGATATTTCTTATAAATTACATAGAGTTATATTTGTTTTATTTTTATTTTTTTACATGATAAACTTATTAATTTAATCATAGAATAAAAAAATATGAAATAATAAATTTTTTGGTCTTTTCAATTTTTTCGCAATAATATAATTATTTTAATATTTTTAAAAACAAAGTCATTATAACTTTCTCACAATAATTTTTTTTTTGTCATTTTACATTGATTTTAATATAAATTTAAAGATTACTAGGGAATATTTTTATAATTGATAGATATTAAATATTATTTTAAAAAAATCTTTTGACATGTGCATAGCATGTGTTGGTGTATGGACAACCCTTGAGTTATTTGGACGGAAAATATAGGACCCTCTTGCCACCAATCACAACATTTTATAGCGGTGTTTAAAAAGTCTTGACGCCCTCTAAACGATAGAGTAACATGTGGATTAGACATGCTTTTGTCGCAAATGACATCTATTTTTATTTTCCTCTCTTTGTTCCTTGAGTTTAGCATCAACCCTTTCAAAATTTTAGACTCTTCCCTTTAGTTGTTTTTCTTTCACATTTAGTATGTGTCCATTTGATTACTATTTAAAAAAAAATGAATAAGCTACAAAATTAAAATTATTTTTCAATTTCAGATCCATTCATTTTTTTAATCTTTCAAATTTAATCTTTATTAGTTTAATTACTTTTTTTTTAATTTTAATAAGCTATAAAATTCATTTTCAATTTCAACCCCCTTTTATTTTTTTAATCTTTTGAATTTAGCCTCCATTCTTTTTATTACTATTTATTTTGTTTGAGATTATTTATAGATTTTTTTTTACAATTTCATTATTCATAGATTTTTTTCCTTTCAAATTTGATCCTCGTTGCTTTTATTGTTATCTCTTTTCAAAGGTTTATTTGTTTGTTTTCTTTGTTAAATATTTTTTATAGTTTTGCTTTATAATTTTTTATGTTTTTTTTTTAGATTAGTCTCAAGTCCATGACTAGAGTCCTTATTTCAAAAGTTAATGCGGGTTGAATTTTGTTTGTTTTGGCTCCTTTTTTAAAATTGATTAATCTCAATTTCATCCTTAAACAATTAATTTATTTGAAATTGGTTTTTTTAATCTTTTTTTCTTCCTTTCTTTTCTATTGAGTTATCAAAATTCTACACCCATGGTTATGAGATTTGCGGGTTAACTCATAATTTGTTTTGGTGTTATGGAGTTAGTTTCAATTTCTAAACTAGAGTATCAATTTCAAAAGTTAATGCAGATTAATTTTTTTATCTTTTAAATTTATTTATCTAAATTTTATTTTTAAATATTTGATTTATTAAAAATTGATCTTAATTTATACTTTTATTTTATTAGGTTATCTCAATATTATACCTATAATTATGGGGTTTGCTAGTTAATTTAGGTTGACTGATATTTTTTTCTATTTATTTTTTAAATTATTTTTTTATTATTATCCTTTAACATTGAGTTGTTTGATAATTAAATTTTATAATTTTATTTATTTTACTTTTGAACCCGGTCATTTTGATATCATGACTAAATATGAGATTTTGCATGTTGACCCGAACAAAATTTTATAATTTTATTTATTTTACTTTTGAACCCGGTCATTTTGATATCATGACTAAATATGAGATAGGCTTGAATCGAATTTTTTTTTACATTTTCTTAATTAGATTTTTTTTTAATTTTCATGCTTTAACATTTTATTTACTACTAATTAAGCTTCAACTTTTTTCTTTTCATGTTATTTTTTTGAGCTATTATATTCTCATTTGATTTATTAAGGAATTAGACTTCAAATTTTTTGATGCATTTATTTTAATGAAATTATCTTAATTTTATGTTTATAATTGTGAAATTTAAAAGTTAATCTAGTTTAATTATTTTTTTTAATTTTTTTAAATATTGAATTGTTTAATAGCTAAGTAAACTCATATAAAGTTATTTTAATTGAGAACTTAGGTCTTGACCATTTTTTTTCTCGGCATCTTTTTCTATGCTGATTGTTTTTTCACCTGGGGGGTGGGGTTGGCTGAGGCGGGCGCCGCTAACCACAATGTGAAATGATTGATTTTGTATAAAATATAATAATGTCAGCTTTTACACTAGCTAGATAGGGATTGGTTCA